CGTGCGTGCGTGCGTGCGTGCGTGCGTGCGTGCGTGCGTGCGTGCGTTCGTGCGTGCGTTGTATGCTGTAGGTGCCGCGCGTGTGGTAGCCTGTGAAGCCAAAACCTTCTTTATATCCACTAAAAGGTTTTCACTGCATTAGAGCTAGAACCCGACCAGCCGTAGTCTGTTAGATTCATTCGCTTATACCTCTGCAAATAAAACTTATTACTGCAGTAAAATTAAACATTCGTTGTCGCTTTATATAAATCATTTGCCCTCTGCACAGCTAAATGCGTCTGCTGACCCAAGTATTCGACATAATGGCGTCGACTTCTTCCTGCTGTTAAATTAAGCTATATTTTATATAATCAACAGCCGCGCTAAATATACGTGTATAGTTAAACTATCATTTCACCTTTCATTACACTTCCTGAAAACATTCTTCGGTTTAATCTCGGTAAAATATTTAATGCTGTGTGTACACGCGCCGACCGCCGACCGCCGATTTCGTTTTACAGTTTTACTACAATAAACGCATTTCTACCCGTGCGGAAATCATTCATTCGGGGGAGGTATTATGGGATGGGCAAGCTGCAAGCATATCCGCGTATCTGAGCGGCGCGTGACAGACGTGTCACCACCGATCACGTCATTCACCGTGCGATTAGAAGTGTGTGCATGCATGTGAGTGCTAGCCAGCTATCATCATGCGCTCCTGATAACTCAATTAGGTACTGGATGGATGAAGGCAATGGGAGTATAAGTGCCAGCAGCACAGATGCTGAATAATACGGTGCGGATGTAGATATTTGGTAATAGACTCGTCTAGTTCTAATGTTCTAGAATCTTCAGTTGTTGTTGTTGTTTGGTATCACCAATCCCGCGCGTGGGCTAATAGTGTCGATAACAAATATTTAATTTCCTGCACACTCATAGTGCTTCCATGATATGTGACATGCATGTAGATTCTTAATTACTAATGTATAATGTGTATGAAATGCACAATGCAACAGTGCATTCCAAGAATCAATGCGTGAGTGGCCTTGTAGGATCATTACAACATCAAATAGCCTACGCATTTTGTAGATACATGTATACCGATAATTCGTTCGCGATAGTTTTTCTCTGAGTTTAACTTTAAGTTTCACCTTTGATGAGAATACACATGCACACACGCACGAACGCACGTACACACGCACGAACGCACGCACACTCCTCGGACGCGCGCAGGAACCCACGCATGTCTAGCACGTTTTTATCGATCTTTCATTACATTTCGATATAAATTAATAAGTATTAATTTTAAGACAACTACTGAGTCACTGCCCGTTTCTGCTACTGGATGACCTTCACTTGCCTTGTCTCGCACGATTTTCCTTTGTATATGAGGAATGGGGCGCAATATCACCCCTCGGCAAATATCTCTAAATTCATATTATGTGCAAATATCGAGTAATACAAACCTATACATGACAGTATAAACAAGGCAGATTACAAATGCATAGAATAAGCCAGGACGAGATACGCCAGAATTTAATGAGGAAAACAGTAAAAACACAGTAAATCATGCGGTATATATACTCGTGATATATATGCGCGTGCGTTTTTGTGCGTGCGTGCGCGCGTGCATGCGCGTGTGTGTACGTGCATGGGTGTGTACATTGCGGCGAGCGACATCGACCGCAAACAGCCGAGGCGGCTTCTCAGTTCAATTATGGATGCAGTCGGTCAGAGCTGACAGCGCGAAGCCATGCGGCATCTAACGTCCACCTGATTGAATGATAAATGCTGACACAAGCGATTACTTCGATGGTTTACTGTGAGTAATGGCGCGCTGTTTGACGAGTGTTACCTGACCCTGTCTGACTGACCCCAATGGGTTAACCCTCCTAGAATGACCTCGCTGCATTAACCTACAAAGCCACTGACTACTCTGAACTAACCTAACCTTCACATGAACAATATTGTGTATTCGCATACAAATTGTGTGTGACCGATCCTCAAAGACTAACATTACTTGATTGAAAGATGCACGTAACTGACAAATTTGCCCAACTTTCCTCCATAAAGTGAACTCGTTTCATTTACTATTTTAGCCGCTGATTTCTGGCAGACTTTAAAACTTGCGCCAAACTAAACATCACCACTGCGGTAGCTCAATGGTTGAGTGCTCGCCTCGTATGTGGAAGGTCGGGGGTTCAACTCCCGTCCGGGTCATACCAAAGACTTGAAAAATGGTACACACGGCTTCTCTGCTTAGCATTCAGCAAATAGAGATAGCGTGTGGCAAGTTAACTCGCAGTGCTACCAGTGGACTGACCCCCTACTGTAGCATTTACTGTGAAAGCAGCTGCGGGGCCTCAGGGTTACTGAAACGGAGATAGGCACCGCCTTATGCGTCATGTAGCTATGCGCTATGCGTATGAAGGCTCGGGAAGGATTTAACTTTAAAATACTGGCATTAGTTGACTCTTCAACCGCAGCAGACTTCTATACGCTAACATTTTCGTGTCCGGTACGTACTACAGTATTGGCTGTCCGATCGCGGCGAGCTAACCTGGCTCGATCATCCACCCGAAAAAAAATTCCTCCGTATTTCAACGACTTGCAGAGTCAGTCTACGAGGCGTGGCGTTTTACCAGACAACTGCTAACTTGAGGACAGAGGTCCCTCACACAAAGATAATGCTCAAGGATGCCTCTCAGGCCTTCAGGCCCGGGGTCGGTATGGGTACAGGTCTCTCTGGCCCGGCTCTTTAATGATTTTGCTATTTATATCTCATTAACACAGAAACAACAGCGTCTACTTCTTAACCGTTGTTTGTTACTAGATTGGTTCAGCGACGTCTGCATGAGTGCATTGATTGCACACAGATCGGATAGCTCATCGACATGGAATAACCTACGTTGATAGGCGATATTAGCTGCTATGGAACGCTAGTGTCTTCCTGTTGTACCAAGCGCACCAAAATTGAGCAGAACGATTCCCCTTTACGTCCCAGAATAGGCAGTCCACTCAGCACTAACTATTTCCCATTAGAATGAGAGAGTTCTGTCGTTTATTTCATTTGGAAATTGCATGATCCAATTTGGCCGAGTTGGTAATCATGAGGCGAGCTGCGAAACGCCTCGAATTAACGCCCGCGAAATTCCGATTAGTGGAAATACGCTGTAAACGCACGCGTCGTTGTGGCGGTTTTTGAACTGCAATCCATTTTATTTTGAGTTTATGCGTCGGAGCTGCAGGCAACCTTTGTCCTTTGTAAGTGGATGAGTGTTGATCTGGTTGATGGTGTACACGTGTTAGCTTCAATTATTCAGTTATTTCATCATCTAGAAGCTAGCGACACGCGAGGGGTTCTCCGGGGGTTGAATTTCCATTATCGGCAACGTGTTTTACAGCCATCCAAACCGGGTGTAAATTGAGTGTGACTAAAACAGAGATGTATAGCTGTAAAGACGTGCATCTCCCTGAGGCCCTCCATCTTTTTTCCCTGGACGAAGAGGCGGTGCGATGTGATTTATTGCAATTTGCACCCGGCATGTAGCGCCACCTATACATTACATATAGCCACTGCGTTCTCATCTTGTATATGCTTTCGTGTTTTTACCTCGTTTTTCACCGATTTCCCACTTCAAATATGACGTAAAAAACAAATATGTACTGTACATATTCTTGAGCTATTTCCCTACCTTTCTTATCGAAATCAGTTTGTAGCTATTTACTGTGGTATTGCTGTAACTTGTATTCAAACACGGTATTGATTCTAGCCTTTTCAGCCTGTTATCACATCTAAATAGGCGTATTTTGTAGAGGCGATACTAGTGACATCTGCTGCAATCCTCTTCCTCCTCCTCCTCCTCCTCCTCCTCCTCCTCCTCCTCCTCACCATCATCCCCTCCCCCTTCTCTTTCTCTCTCTCTCTCGCGCTCCCCTCCCTCTCTCTCTATCTCTCTCTCTCCCTCCCTCCCTCCCTCTCTCTCATTCACTGGCTCATCTCTCAGCTCTACTCCTCATCTCTCTCTCTCTCTCTCTCTCTCCCGCTCCCGCTCCCTCGCTCTACTTACCATTCGCCTCTATCTCTCTGTTTCTCCCTCTCTATAACGTCAGCCCTACCAAGGGTATTTGGCCATATAGTATGAAATCAAAGGCTCAATACTAGGAGCATTAACATTTAAATTAAATTGAATGAAATTAATATTTCACAATCGCCTACTATGGCATTAATTCTTAAACATAATTGTTATCGTAGAGTTGTGGTGGTAGAAGGTTACGCTGTTTGAACGCCATCTGAAACCACTTCCACCGATTGGCATTTTTAGGTTACATGTCTAAAAGTTATGAGGGGTGTGGTGGGTGGGGGGATAAAACTAATAATGATGGTTAGTGGATGTTTCAGCCGTGAAACCGTCTATATTACAATCTTTCACCTATACACTGTGCCCAATAGCATTGGGTTTTACGATGAATTGAGGGCATATCCGACGGGTGTGCAGAACACACTGACGCATGTATGTGTTCATAACGACTAGTCTATCATGATGACTGCTGTGCCCGGCTGTATTGAGTCCTACTTTAATCAAATGATAGATGCCACGAGTAGGTGCTGACATACGAACGTGCACATCGCGGAATCCGTTTTCGCAAAAAAAAAATACTAACGGTGTCAAACGTAGATGTGGATGCCACGTAGTGCCGTGTAGTTTGATGTTGACGTCACTATAGCGCAGCAATATAATACTATATGTATACATATATCAGGAGTAGATAATAGAAGAAGTCTTCTATTATCTACTCCTGATATATATATACAGGGTGCGAAATTAACGGGAGTCTGGAGTCAAATACTCCCTGATTTACTGTCGGGCTCCCTGATTTGACATATGCAGGAGTCCGTGTCACTGTGACTCCCTGAAAATTCTGCCATAC